CCGTGTTCGCCTCTCTGCCCATACAGCCATCCAGTTCTACGACGTCCAAGACCGCCTCGGCTACGACCGACCCAGCAAAGCTGTGGATTGGCTTATCAAAAAGGCCAAAGCCGCCATTGATGAGCTTGCCGAGCTCCCTGCATGGAATCCGAGCACAGCAAACGCAGCCACACAGCAGCAGGAGCATCTGAATGATGAGAACGAGAATCTTCTTTCCGTACAATGCGATGTCTACAATACAACAGGGAATCGGAGAGCGACGGTGGTGGGTAGCAACAGCAGAGTTTCAGAGTTTCCTCTGCAAAACTTGCAGCATACCCAAATGGGGGAAGGCACTAATAACAGCACCTCGAGCTTTCTCCCGCCGTCGCTGGACTCGGACTCTATTGCTGACACCATCAAGTCCTTCTTCCCTATAGGCACAGCTGCGGCGGCGGAGACGACTTCGTCGTCGATTCAATTCCAGAATTACCCGCTAGATTTGCTTTCCAGGACGAGTAGCCAGAACCAAGATCTGCGGCTTTCTTTGCAATCTTTTCAAGACCCAATATCTATTCACCGGCATCATCAAGCTCAGCATCAGAGTCAAGGTCATCAGAGTGAGCACGTCCTTTTTTCCGGTACGGCCGCATTAAGCGGGTTTGATGTGACCACCGCTGGTTGGTCTGAGCACAACAACCTCACTCCGGCGGAGATTAGCCGGTTCCCGAGGTTGACTTCTTGGAATGCAACTGGTGCAGAAACTGGTAGTGTTGGCGGCAGCGGCGGCAGCGGTCATGGCGGAGCTGGGATTAGGAATGCGGGATATGTCTTCAACTCGCAGCACTTGCCAGCTGCGCTGCCACCTTCGCCATTTATGCAGCCATTATTTGGCGAAAACCAGTTTTTTTCTCAGAGGGGACCCCTTCAGTCCAGTAACACACCTTCAATTCGCGCTTGGATTGACCCATCACTCGCAGCCACTGATCATCAACAGCATCAAATGCCACCATCGATCCACCAATCTTCCTTCACAGGTTTAGGATTCGCCTCCGGCGGGTTCTCCGGGTTTCACATTCCAACGCGAATTCAAGGTGAGGAGGAGCACGATGGCATTTCAGACAAGCCATCCTCTGCTTCCTCTGATTCTCGCCATTGATTTGATCAAAATCCCAAGATCTCTCTTTCAACAGGTCCTAACTTCACAACCCAGTTCTCAAATTCATCTGATCCTCAACATATTTGGTCTATCTTCTACTTCTTTCCTACTTTAGACGATTATGTTATTGCAGGTGTGCATCTTTGATTAGAAGGTCATGGTCATAGCAGCAGTCAAGCCACCGCATGGTCCTCAAGAGGGCAGAATTTTGGGTCGTTTTGTTTCAATGGCCTTTACCATGGAAATAGTGGATCTGAGTGCTTTTTCAGGTCTTATGGTCCATGGTTTATTTAGCTTCTGTCAGTTTTTTATGTTATTTCATGCTGGGAAAAAAAAAAGAGAACTCTTTAGTTCTAGTCTTTGCTGAATCCTTCGATGGAACTACCTTTCATATTTGTTTCTGTAGCAAGACTTCGATTATTATGATTACTTTCTTCCAATATTTCAATTTTAGTTTCTCTGGATGTGTTGCTTTCCCCTTCTTAGCAGGAAACTGAGCCTGTTTGTGGTATTGTCCCCTGATTTCTGTGTGAAGCATCAAAATTCTATGGTAAAAGACTAGAAACTACTAAGTTTTAGGCATATCTTGACATCATGCTTATCAACGATGGTTAAAGATGGTAGATGCTTTGTTGTTACTAAAAGGAGAGAAAGGGTCGGTATCTTTTACCTGGTTAAAGGAGATAAGCTCTTGTCAAGATTGCATGAGCTAATTGCTATTTCCTGCAATTATGATGATTGGTTTAGTGAATTCCAAGAGAAAGGTGTTTGCCTCCAATATCTTCCTTAAAACCTGCAGAAAGAATTATAAAAATAGATCTTTAACTTCTCTTTCATTGCTTGGATTTTGGGAGCACATTAGCAAATGGCTAGTCATTTTCCAAGAACAGTAGATAATTGCTAAAACTAGAAGATTTAGAACTTAAAAAGTCAGAAGTCCAAAGTTCAACATCCTAATCTTAGGCATCAAATTCGGAAATTTTGATCACAAATTGGCRATAATCTTTTGGCAGCGGTGCTTTGTAGCTTTCCTCCAAGCTTCCTTGAATGATAGACTTAGAATCTGAATTCTAGTATGAAAAAGAAAGCACAAGGCTGATTCTGATAAACCCATTTACACTGAGATTCTGTTCTTATCTGAACCACAACTTTAAGCTTATCAACAATCTTGGGGATACTATTATACCCAAATTACTAGAATTAGATTCCTGTTTCTCAGTCTTGGTATGAGGGCTAGTATTTCCTTATGGAACAATGTTCTTTAGGTTTCGATGGAGAAAAGGGAACTGATTAGAACTCAATAAGATCCGGTGGTAGAGGAATCTAAAATATTGCACCATATTCAATATGAGTGTGATAGATGTCGTGGCTGGTAGACCAAGTGGGGCAAAGTGGAGTAAATCTACTGCACAACCAAGAAATAAGGGTATGAACACAAAAATGCCCAATTATAGAAGAATATACAGATGGATACCACCTAATTATGTTGCTTCACCATCTGTCTATGGTCCCCAACCCTACTAAATTTCAGAATCTAGCTGGAATGTTCCGCTCTCTCTCTCTCTCTCTCTCTCTCTCTCTCTCTCTCTCTCTCTCTCTCTATTTTTCAGACTCTCTCGGATAAAAAAATTGTCTCATGTAGAGATGGTGACAATGCTCAGCTCTAGTTGGTGCTTCTTTAATTCAGTATATGCAGAGCAATAAACACAGAGCAAGGAAACTGTAAATGAGACCTCTTTGGTCCAGACTCCATGTATTCTTCTTTCTTGAGAACAGCAAACTAATCAAGGAAATGCCCTAGGATGAAGAATATGATGAAATCATGAAGTATAAAGCATGTTTTCCATGGAAGCCATGAAACTTTTTCTCTTATTTGGCAAAATAACAGAGATTCACACTACAAAGCAAGCCAAGTTAAAATATAATGAGAACTACCAAATTCATATATCATTGAATTTGTCAGTCGTGGTTTATGGGTTGGGTGATTATATACAGAAAATGACCTTCAACCTCTTGTAGCTTGTTTCAGTGGTCGGATATAGCAGAAGTTCTGGCCTTTGAACTTCCCTTGCCATTTGACAAAGAATGTCTGGCTGAGTTTAAGACCTTTGGTTGTCCTGTCAAGACTTTTTCGAGTTTGCTTGTTTTCTTCATCTGCACCTTCTTTGGAATGGTGGGATGAGCGTTAGCTCGAATCTCCCATGGCCGAGCAGCAATCCATCTCTCCTTCCAGCTCCATCCCCAATTTTCTTTGTCAAGGCTGAATGAAGTCGGACTTACATGTAAGATGGAGTTGGCCCTCCACTGCAGATGGATTCACCATTAGAATGACATAACAAAAGTTTACAACATTCCTCTGAAAACCTAGTTATTTACAGAGAAACAGAACCGATTTCAAGCTGATAGAAATAACTCTTGTTTGTCGACTGATGTGTAAAATTACTGTTTACCAACTAGTATGGAGCCTCTCTGCATTGACTTATTAGCTCCTTAATTGGTAAAAAGTAGCTTCATTTTACTGTTCGGTGTGTTAACTATCATTGTGCTTAACTTTCATAATATTTTGGGGGGAAAACAGGTTAAAAGCGAAATGGATCCCTACGAACCAAATGGCCGAAAGCAAACATGTCCATGTCAATCAAAAGGGCCAAAGAGTTGCCATATCTATATGGGGGAAAACAGCTTAAAGAATTGAGTATCAAACTTGGCCTTTTAAAATGTCAGTTTTATATAATACCTACAAAAATAACAATATTTGTTTATGTTCGCTTTTGATCATCGAATTATTTAAACAAGTGATGGATAAAAAGGAAAATGATGATCTAATACAGTCAACTATTTAATGATATAATAACTTGAGCACGCAATAATTTAAGAAACTAAAGTCAGTTAAGAAATCTCGTCAAGAGGTAAATTAATATTTAAATTAAAGTCAATTCATGACTTAATTCGAGATAATGACAAAAAACAACGGTTTGTACTAAAAATAAATAAATAAAACAAAGGTTGAAATATTATTTGTTTTAGTCATGACTGAGTCAAACATCAAATTGAAAACATGTGGCTGAAGAACTTTTATTAAACACAATGCAAGGGTTTACGTGTAAGGATCAAAACAAGCTAAGAATATTTATGAAAAATTCAAAAATCAACATAGAATAATTGAAGATATAATAATCAAAAGCAATAAGTTTACAATTTTGGGACTAAAAGGAAAATTAAATCTAAATAAAATTTCTCCTTTTAAGGTCAAATTACTCGATCAACGCTTTACCACTTAAAGTCATGGATAATTTATTATATTAGGTTTAAGATTTTTTAGTAATTTATGATTGGAGGTCACATATTACATTCAAATTAATAATCGATTTACTAACTAACASGTCAGTTAAGGTTGGAGATATATACTAGTACTACTAAACTATGCTCAGCTTTAGCTCCTCGAGTAAAGTATCTCTAGTTGTATTACACTATTTCCAATCACAAAAGTATAGAACATATATATATACGTTGCAATGGAAAATAGAAAATATTGTAACTAAATTGATCATCAATACTAGTTTATAATAATAAATATTAATTACAGAACTTTTTAAAAATCAAATGCACCAATTTATTCAATATATATATTTTAAATTTCATTTTATCACAAACTTTCAAATTTTGTCTATTTCAGTCCTTAAAATAAACCTATAAATTCAAGAATCTAGATGTGATTTAAATTGGTTTTTTCAACCTTTTCAATTAAATTTAAAATATCAAAATTTCAAATTTATATACTTCAAAATGTATTACTCACTTTAATCGATGAAGCATACCTGATGGGAGAATGCATAAGCCATGGCTCGCTCTCGTCTCACAGCAGCTTCTTCTCGTTGTTGAATCTTAGAAAGGATTTCCTCCTTTGTTTCAGACCCACCACACCATTCTATCTGTTATGATTAAAAATAGCCTAACATTATGTCTTTAGTCAATTAAAATTTTTCTTTTTAGAATTACTATTCTTGAGATAGAAATGTAAACCTTAAGATCATAAAGAGAGTTACTAATTTCTAGTCTAATTAATTATATTTAGACAGCTAATAAATTGATAATTAAGTTAAAAGAGAGGATACTATACACTTTAAATAAAGTTACAAGAGACTTTAAGAAAAATAAAAAGCTCTCTCTCCAAATCTCTTTTAATATAGTAATGACAATGATTACATAATTGTGTACCAATGAAATCGTTTGAATTCATCTACTAAAATTGTTTCATATGGAATTCAAAGTCTGACAATAATTTCAAAATTTTAAAACAAATCAGGATGGAAATGATACCAGCTCTTTTTTCAGAACATAAAATAAAAGAAAAGAGGTGATCAAATGAAGTCTCATAAATTTTCAAATGGCAAATTATATATTGACTTGAAACAAAATTTAAACTTTTTATAGTTTGAAAATAATCTTTAAGATATTTCATCAGTAATATATAAAAGGCTAAAAAAACAAACAATTTAAAGATATTAAAAACGTTCATCCACAACCCTCATATAAATTATTCCCTTTAAAAAAAATTTATGAATACAGGCACACTGAACCAAAATTCGCATCTTTAGCTAAAAAACAACTTTTTATTTATCGACTTTTCATGGCTATGATTTGGACCAAGTCCTCCTAGTGGTTTAAAATCCTAGCTATGTTAAACATGTAGGACGGTTCGAGATTGGCGTGTGTTTCATTTTCACAATGTGATMATTGGAATTTGAAAAAATTAATTAATATTTCAAAACAACTAATTAAAGCACTAATCAACATATTAATGGGATGAGCTATTGATTGTTAAAATGAAGRAATAATAATACAACAAAAACGACTACTAATTAATCATGTACTAATTAATCAATCATGTAACTAGAAGTAATTAACAGAATTAACTAACTTCAACATCTGTAATTATTTTTGACATACGACTAAGTATGGATCTTTGAACCAAAGCGAATTTAGCTCAACGATAATTGACATATATCTCCAATCAAGTAGTTATGAGTTCGACACCCCCACATGTTGTACTTAAGAAGGAAGGAAGAAGGAAGGAAGAAGGAAGGAAAAAAAAAAGCATGGATCTTTAAACTGAACAACCTCTTGTAAATTTTAAATATGGCTAAAATTTTTGTAAATTCACATTTTGATATTTAAACTTTGATGATTACTTCGTCTTTGTCTCCAAACTTTCAAATGTCTCATCTTCATCCTTGAATTTTACATAAAAAATATTTTTAATTATTGTTATTGATTTGATATTAGCCATTTAACAAAAATCTCTGTAGTACGTCTTTGTTCATTTTGACATTTCTTTTATATATTTACTTTATGGGTAGATATTTGGTTCTTTTCTTTATTTGATTCATACGTAGATATCTAGTTGAGTAAGAGAGGGTCTGACTTCATAATAAATTTAGATTTTTCTGTTATATGATTCTCAAAATTTAGGACTGAAATCATCTTAGGTAAAATTTATGGGCTAAAACAAAATATTTTAACGTGTAAGGATTAGAATAGAACATTTCCAAGTTTAGTTAGAAAAATGAACTAATAGGAAAGTTCAAGATCGGACTAAAAGTTAGGCTAAACATACAAGATAGTCCATATTCTTTTTACTCAATTCTCAATTTAGTCCTCAATCTTTTAAAATTCTCAATTTGACCCTTAATGTATTAAAAAATCTCAATTAAGTCCCCAAAAAAAYTGTTCAAATTTTTAAACAATAAAGCTGATAAAATCATTAAATTATTATTTTATTAACATATTTGGACGAGTAAACATACTTGAATTCTATTTGACACATAAAACTCAAACTACCCATCAACAAAATCGGAGCCACCAATTAATAAAATTTATTCTTTTCAAGTGGAATGTCCATGTAACATGTCATGTGTCCAAAATATGTTAATAAAATAATAATGTAATACACTTGATGTTAACATGTTTTTAGATAATGACCTAATTGAGAATTGAGTACTAGACTTCCATTAGAAAAATTGAGTTCTCAAAAAGAGATTCAGAATGTTCAATAATTCATGTAGGAAAGTCATTGGTACTTACCTCAAGTTCATGAATTTTAGCCTCAAGCTTCAGCTGATTTTCCAGTTTCTTTTGCTTGACTCGATATTCTGTGACCATACATAATCTACGAGCTCCAATTTCCTGTTGCATTCTGCTCCATGAATGAATGAAGCTTAATACTTGCTTTGTAGCTGTTTCACCTTGAATTATATCCTGGAATCTCTCTGGCCCCTTCGAATTATGTACAATTTTTCTGGCCTGGATGACAAAAGATTAAACTATGTCATCAAGGATGAATGGTACAATTGTTATTTTTGCATCTCACATAAATATAATAGGATAAGTTGGGCTACAGATTTGTTAGTATGAAAGTTCAAACAAAATTATATGCTAAGCAATCACGAGTAGTGTGAGCGGCTAAGGCTCAAAATTGACAAGATAATGCCTGAAGAATCCATCTTTATATGAATCTTCCATTCCAGCCTATATTGAGTATCGACTAGAATAAGAATGATGCAATTTTGGAACAAACTGAACTCTAAACATGTCTATGTAAGATATTGTCTCTGCATCATAAGTTATAATAGCTTAAGTTGAATGAAGGAGCCTCAATCAAAATCATCATCATGCTGAGTCAGAATCAATGTAGTTCGATTCAAGCTTCTCTGCTAGTTCACAAGAAACATGAACATTATGATTTGTGTTGTTATCGTTTGTCAAGGAATCAAGGACCATGAAATGAGAAGTGGGAACCACTTTCAAATGATGCTATCGAAAAAATTACCAAAATACAGGATGTGAGTCACTGAATCTGCTCTCTAAAGATGCAACACAAGAGTTAATTGTTTACTTTACTATAAGGGGAAATCAGTCTACAAAAATGGATCCCAGGGAGCTGGAAAATGTCATAAAGCAGCATGGTAAAGTTATGGGAAACAGCTCGTTCGAATATCTGTGCGAGAAAACTAAAATGTTGGGTAACAAGTTATTTAGCACATTCGATGTACCGTAAATGCCCGAAATGCATTTTGAATTCGAGATGCAGCTAGATCTTCACTCTTCCCATTTGGGGAACCACTGGATTTTCCAGTATCTAAGTGTACCTGACCCAAGAACAGGGATACAGCAAATTACAATAACTGAAATATCGATAAAATATGTGCAAGTTTGGTGTTGGTATTTGGGAGAGGACAATAAGCAAAAAGGTGAAGTGAGTTACAAAGGCATTAATTTCATTCATTTTTTGTTCAAACTAATATTTTTTCAAACTCGACTTCTTCTCATGAGAAATTCAGTCAAATGAAAACAAAAGACAGAAAGGTTTAACAACCTGCCACAATACTTGTTATGAAAAATTAACTCTCGTGATATTATAACTTTCTCCCTCAGAAAATCATAATTCATTCAGGAACATATGTATTTGTATGTAAAACAAAATGTTGTAGAGAAATGATCAATAAATTATGAAGCTCAGAAACAAAGTACAAAGTAAAAGATTAAAACCCTATCAGAGGAGAGGATATAGGATTCCTAGTGTCCAAATAATTTACTGAATGAGTAATTTCGACAGCCAAGCAAATTAATGATTTTCTTTTGTACAACATAGAAATTTCTAAACAGAAAATACTTTCCCAGGTCAGCAATAAGTTCATAGTCGGTATGAATTTCATTTCTAAATGAGTGAGTTAGTTATACCACATGTACATGTCTGCTAAATTCCCAACAAACAGAAATATAAGACTTTGCAATATACAAACATGTACAGTTGGAGATGGATTTGATCAGAATTGACTCATCATATATATATATATATATATAATAGAGCATGAAGTCAAGCTGAGTTCTTGACATGTTCACAATGCCTTCCCGGATTTTCCTTTTTCTGTTATCTTGCCATGAATATCCTTACAACAACATCCGTACCTCAATTCCTTCCCAACTTCATTGGAAAACCACCACTAGAAAGAATGGTTAAAGGAACGTTTCTATAGTCTTCCTTTATTTCTCCAATCTTTAAGAAATAACAAACTAAAGAGAAAGCTTACCTGTTCTCCATTGCTTGTAACTCGCTTCACCTTTCGTTGCTTGAATATTGTCCAAAAACAGTTTGCTGGACTCATCCGTAATCAACCAGAATGCTAATCAAAATGGAAAATTAAAAGTGCATAAATTAGAGGCTCATTTTCCAACTCTTCACAGACATTTTAACAAATAGAACACGTGCTGTGCTTTACTGAAGTGTGAACAG